GAGATGCAGGCACTTGGACGATTCAGTATGTATATGCCATATGTTGGCTTTTCTTGCTTTGTTCTTTTTGGTGACCAAATTTTTTTTTCTCTGCCAACTTATTTGAATGTAATTTGTTTTTGGCCCATGTGTAGCTGAACTAATAGTTTGTTGTTGTAAAATGTGTTATTTACCCTGTAAACCGGTCAAATTAAAAAAAGTATTAAATTAAAAAGACATACTGATTACACAGAGAGATGCATAGTCTTGTGCCATATTTACCACAGGTTAACTCCCAGGAGCCTATGAACAAGTGCCAGTAATACACAGTAAAATATCCTAAAGGCTTTTCGTTTCAATACTCTTGTATTTAAGAATTTATAGACATACTGTACATGACAGCAAGCACAATTCCAGTCAAAGATGAAACATACAGAAAAATCAGGGCACAAGTCAATAATAGTCCAGGGCTAAAAACGCCTTAACTAGTCCATGTTATTGGTACCCTTCAGTGGAGAATCAAATACAACACATTGGCTGTGCTGTAGTAACCAACTAGGGGAGTACAGAGTAAAAAAATATTAAAAGAGAGGAAGTAGAGCACACTGGGGAGAAAAGGTAGAGGAGGGATAGAGAGGAGGAAGTTCACTGGAGGTGGATTGGTCATTGCTCATTGACCAAGCAGGATGGCCTAGCCAGCCAGATGGGGTGGTCAGATAGTTTTTTTTTTCGTCAGGAAAAAAAGTTGATTGAAACAAAGATTAAGCATACAAAGAAAAGGACCAAACATTCCAGGTTCCACAGTACAGTGTCTATATATGACTCAGGACAAATAAACAATATACTAAGACAGTCCAGCAATTGTCCATCCAGCTACCCATAAACAAAAAGTATAAAAGAGCAGTCCCGCAGTTCTGACTGAAAACAAGCTATACAGAATGTCAAACAAACAACCTATCCATAACCAGATCCACCGGCGCAAGGCCTGGCCATACTTTATTAAACTTAGTGAAGCATCCCCAATGTTGAAAAATAACTAGCTCATATCTGAGAGTAATGCCCATATGCTCCCCACACTCTTTAAGAGTGAGAGGGGAAGTACTCTTTCAATGTAACAATATCACTTTACGGGCCTGAAACAAGGCTTTAGCAACAGCCTCCCCCGTAAACTGATCCATTACCACATCAATAATGCCTAAGATACAGCGTTTAGGGTCCAGAAGAAGAGTAGTAAGGAAAACTCAGTTAATGGTATTAAGTACTGCCTCCCAATACCTATGCAATTTGGGGCAACGCCACAGCATATGGATCAGTGTACCATGATCCCTGGTACCTTTAAGACAAATAGGAATGGCGAAAAAGCCCATTTTGGACATTCGCACCGGAGTGTAGTGCACCCTCAGTAGGATATAAAACTGAGACAATCGCTGGAATGTGTTCAAGGAGCTAGAATGGACCACCTTCAGCGCCATCTCCCACTGCTCACCAGCTAGTTCCCCTATATCCATTTCTCACCTCTCCGCTACTTTCCAAGGATAAGCTGCTGCATGGATGTTCAGCAGCATTGCGGAACAGTGAGAAATATAGCCTTTCTGACTGCATCTCATTAAATATAGGGGTAGGGGAGAGAGAGAATCCTTGCGGGAAATGCTGCGCCTGGATGGCATGCCGCAGCTGCAAATTATAAAAGAGCATGGATTGTGGTAACCCATATTGCGATTGTAGAGTGGAGAATGGTAGCAAAATACCCACTCTCAAAATATGTGTCAGATGCAACACTCCGTGAGATAGCCATTTCCTTGCATATGGCAATCCAGCCAGCTCAGAATATGTAGGGTTATCCCAATTAGGGATATAATTCGTAAAACCCTCTACTGTCTGTAACTGTTTGGCCTTACACCACACTTTGTGCATCAATCTGTGCATGGGTAAGGACTGGTTCGGCTTAGCAAACCTCTGGGATTCTAAACCTTCAGGGAGAGAAGTTGACTGGGTGCAATGTAGGACCAGGGCCAGAGAAGAGTCTACAGTGACCCTGGTGCCATCATCAGCCTGAGACATACCCGGCAACATATGCTGCAGTTGAGCCGCCAAATAGTAAAGCCAGGGATTGGGAAATGCAATGCCTCCAGTGCACTTAGGTTTCTGAAGTTGTTTCCAAAGGAGAGACTGAAAAATAGCATTAAATGTATGGAACAACTTAATGGCATTACAACAGGGGAGTTATGAAAGAAATACAGCAATTGAGGCATCATATTTGGCCAAATTAGTCCATCCAATCACAGAAAGCTTAAGTTTATGCCATATCTTAAGTTTGTCACGAAACCTATTGAGCATTTGAGAGATGTTCAGGTGGGAGTAAGCCGTCAACTCAGAGAAGACGACAATGCCTAGATACTTAAAGGATGCTACACAGGGAACAGGGCAAAACAGATGTAATTGAGGGTTGGGTGTTCCCTCCAGAGAAAGCAATGCTGATCTGGACCAGTTTTATGGTCAACCCAGAGTATGTATCAAATTCCTGTATAGTATCCATAGTAGCTTTCAAAGAAGCATCACATTTCAAAAAATCCTGACCTAATCCTGTACCGAACCTGATGTAAACCTGACATGAACCGCTGAACAACTACTGTGTCAATTAGCTGTGATACCTGAGCTTCAATCCGCACAGCAGCACATGTATGAATCAGATCTTAAAGTATACCAGTGTACAGACTATGAACATTTAAGTATTTACATACAGTATTCTTAACAAGCAGTAAGGCCCCTTTTCGCATGAGGTGGGCTCTGTTTGGACCATCAGGGGATCTGCCCACTGATCCCCTGCTGATCAGAACAAAGCGGGCGGATGACAAGTCCATCTACACTCAGTTTGAGGCAGAGCGAATGCGGATAGAGCCCACTGTACTCTTTTAGTGATCGGGTATAAATGGACTCCACTGTCCATTTACACCTGGCTGTCGTCCAATTCAATTCACCTAGAGCAGGGGTAAGCAAGCTGCGGCTCTTCAGCTGTTGCAGGACTACAAGTTCCATCATGCCTCATAGCTGTAACTGTCAATTTTGCAATGTCTCATGGGAAATGTAGTTTCACAACAGCTAGAGAGCCGCAGGTTGCCTACCCCTGACCTAGATAAAAGAGACATATTTCAATCAGATTAGAGATAGGTGGGTGTAAATGGACACAAGTCAGTTTATGCCTGCCGGTTCACAGGAGTGAATGGAGGGTCCGTTCAGGTCCACCTGAAAATCTGACAGGTGGACCTGATTGGACCCTTCGTTTGAAAAGGGTCTAAGTCAACTTTTTTTAAATCAGATACATTTTAGACACATCTTCTATGGGAAACATAGATTGCACATTGCATTGCATAAGGGATAAGAAAGGCAAACATTTAACAAGAGAAAAAAAACCTCTTTCTTCATGAGAACCATAATAAGGTAGTAGATTACCTTTAAAACTAATCCTCATTGATTTCTTTAAGTGCAGGCACTGTGGAGTACTTAATTCTGAAAGTTAGCAGCAGCCCTAAAGTCCTTTCAAGATCTTCTCTCAGCAGTTTAGCTCATCCTCTTTCCCCTCCCTGAGCTAAAAAATGAATAGGCTAGCCGGTTCATAGGTCTCTATTGAGAGGGGGTATCAAGGTGAGCTGAACTGCTGTCATGTAAATGCTTCAATTTCCATAGCCTGGCCTCAGATTTACTTTAAAAATGCAAATCTACATTAAAATCTCTATCAGTAAATGCACATCATGTCCCCAGTATAACCAAGTCTCAGAATTTTTAAGGTCAAAGTATACTGACAAAACAGAACACAGTGGGACATTTTTATACATTATCATAAGTTAGACCACAAGTAAATGAGTTTTAACCATTAGCCGCCCGGCCTATAGCCGTTTGGCGGCGGAAAAAATGCTTCACCTTTCCGGGTGCACGCCATTTGGCGTGCTCCCGCACATGCGCAGTTTGCGCGGTTGCAGAGCCGCGCAGCGGCGCGATCTGTCACCGGCCGTGTACCTCGGTCACAGCCGATGACAGATCTGAGTATCGCCCCCCCGTTGCCGGTACCATGTGACCTGCTGTGACCAATCACAGCAGGTCACATGACAGTTGTATACAATGGATGGCTTCATTCATGCCATCCATTGTATACTACTGCATAGCTGTGAATGGTCACAGCAGGTCACATGCACATGTCATGTGATTAGCTGTGGCCAAATCACAGCTAAGCACAAAAAAAAAAAAAAAAACCTGAATGAATCGATTTCATTCTGGTAAATGCTTACTTATAGCAAAGTAAAAAACAAATACTGATCACTTCCCCAAAGTAGTACAATGTTACTATGGTAACATTGTACTATTTTGGTCATAGTAAAATATGAAAAAAAAAATCTTAAAATGTTTTTGGACAAAAAAAAAAATGTAATAAAAAATTAAAAATAATAATTAAAAAAAAAAAAATATTATTTTTTTTTTCATACTGTCACCAGTCAGTGTCCCTGTTCACTGCCATGCCAGTTATATGATGACGCTGTACTGCACTGGGACAGTGACCTGCTGTGAAAAAAAATAGTGTAAAACAATTTTTTTAATTTTTTAATTTTCCGAAAAATTATGACAAAAAAAATACAACTTCAAAAAACGCGCCATGCCGCTTATGAAATACGTCGGACTGTCTACTTTGCAAAAAGGGGTCATTTGGGGGATATCTGTACTGTTCTGACATTCTTGGACCTCAAGAAATTAGATTGGCTGTCAGTACAATTTTCAGATCTATACCATAGTTGTGAACTCTATAACTTTCCTACAAACTAAAAAATACATCCTAATTTGGGTTATTTTCACCAAAGACATGGAGCAGAATACATCTTGGCCTAAATTTATGAAGAACAATTATTTATTTACAAACTTTTATAACAGAAACAAAGAAAAACGTTTTTTTTTCAAAATTTTCAGTCTTTTTTTGTTAATTTAGCAAAAAATAAAAAACCCCAGCGGTGATTAAATACCACCAAAAGAAAGCTCTAGTTGTGTGAAGAAAATGATAAAATTTTAGTTTGGGTACAATGTTGTATGACTGCGCAATTGTCATTCAAAATGTGAGAGCGCTGAAACCTGAAAACTGGCCTGGGCAGGAAGGTGTAAAATTGCCCGGTATTGAAATGGTTAAAAGAACATCTCACTGATCTTTCAGCTCCAGGCACTGTTGTGCAATTCATCCACAGAATTAACAGCAGGAGCACTCAGTTGTACAGTGATTCTCTCAGGCAGCTCAGCTCACCCTGTTCCACCTTCTAAAGATTCTACCCTATTCTCAGCAGCTCAGGTCACCATGCTCCTCCCTCCCAGGACCTTTGCTCTGTTACATTAGAGATTACAAAGTTGGAAGGCTGCTGAAGCACTGCTGCTAGGGAGAGTTGAGCTGCTAAGAAAATGACTTTGCTGCCTATCCCATGCAATTTGAGGATGAAATTTACAGCTACAGAGCTAACTGAGGATTTATTTTTAAGCTCAATTATTGACAATTAAGAATATGTAAACATGTGCATGTCCATATTCTGGTCACATTTTTACTTTTAGCTTCTGCTCTGTGTTTATATTAGAGATTAAAAGACAAGAAGGCTGCTGAGTCACTTCTGAGAGGAGGTGTTGAGCTGCTAAGAGAATGACTTTACTGCCTAAGTCAGGATGAATTGCTTCACAGCACCTGCAGCTATGGAGGTCAGTGAGGACTTGTTTTAAAGCTCATTTATTGGCTATAAAGAATATATAAGCACTTGTTAAGTTAAAATGCAATACCCCAGTTTAGGTCACAGAATATTGGGTTAGAGTGAGCAATAGATGCTTCTGGTTTGTGGCAATGCCACAAGACCTATACCACAAAGCCTCATACACAAGGGCGTTTGCATACTAAAAAGTCAAACTATATGGTACATTTCTGCCTCTGGAGAGGTGCAGGTCCGTGTGCTTATTAGCACAGAAGGCTTCTCCATCACTGTTTACATGCTCTGCTTGCATTTCCCACAACTGGCCACACGTACGTGTGCATGAGGCCTGAATTTTCTCGATTTATAAATAAAACACTGTATATGTGGTCTTATTGCTGCTGCCAAGGATAGTAATTGAGCTTGTGGTCCCTTTTTAGACTCTACAAAAGTACACTTTTAGTGTAAAACCACTTTAAAAATTAACATTTTAAAAATTAACACTAGAGATTAAATTTCAGTTACCAACCTTTCAAATTACACTTCATTTAACAAGTATGGATTATATAGATCATGAACGAGTCAAAAAAGATACATAGGTAAACAAAATATTTATTAAAAATACTTAAAACTAGTGGACTTAAAACTTCCTTCCTTGGTAGAGTCATTTTCCTTCCTTTTGAGAAAGCATCAAAATTGAGGTCACAAGTTGGCCCCTTCCCATTACCATAACAGAGTATTTCCAAAACCATAAACAGTTTTTCATGGCGGTGAATAAAAACAGATTTTGCTGGGAAACTGTTCCTGAATCTAATAATTATCCTCTTCATCCTCTTAATTCAGTCTCAGTGTTTTGCCAAGGAGTGGGATGGGAGCCAGTAAGAGTCGTCAGTGGGATTATTCTTCCAGGAGTCTCACCCCAGGAGGCTGGGCAGCCGGCAATTACCAAAAAAGCGGTCCTTTTGATTTAAAGGAAAAGTTTCAGAAATGGACTAAAATGCTGAATAATGCCCATGATTAGTAATTTGTCGCTGTAGATCAGGGGGTTCCCCCTCGACCAGAAGTGTTTGTTGAAAAAATAATAAAAACGACACCTGTGGGGAGTTTTAGTATTTCATTTTTTTTTCTTGGGCCTCAATAGGCGTTGTATAAAAAACTATTACAGGGGGCTAGGAGGACCCGGGCAAGGCGCTGTAATCACCTTCAGAAAATTTATCTGTATATTCCATTGTGATAAAGCACTGAATAAAATCTTTTCAGGCTGCAGCCTTTATATGATGCCCTGGATTTTTAAATGAAAATAAGGGTCAAATTCTCTCATTTTCCTTACAATGGAGTGAAAAGAACAACTGGCCGGGCTTGATGGCCGCACCAGAAGGTGATTTGATAAAAGAAGAACTACCACTGAATGCTGGATTCAGATCAATGCTTTATTGTGAGCACGCTCTGAGACAAACGAGCACTGGCTACGATTTAAGCTGTGTAATTAAATTTCACACAATATGAAGCAGCAAATGACATGTAAATTATGAATGGCCGATCCTTACTTTCTATGACACTGTTAAGTAAAGGGAGATGTAAGTGAATCATTAGATTATACCGGACCTCACGGACTTTGAAAAAGCTTGTCTTCTTGAGCTGTACACAGTCAAGCTTTTTTGGCAGAAGCGATGTACTCTGAGACTATATCAAACAGGGTCGGAACAATGGCTGACCAGCCTGTGATTGTATTTGTCCACCTAGGTATAAAACAGACATTATCGCAATATTGTATCACACACCAAGATGCTTGGTTTTCACCTAAGTGTGACATGACATGATATGCTCGGTTCTCATTGTTCGAGAAATCAACTGAGTGAGTTAAAAAAAAAAAAGAAAAAAAAAGAGATTTGCTTATGAGGAGATGTTAACTCATTCAGCAAAAAAAAAAAAAAAAAAGTTTAGAAAACCTAATTAAAAAATGGTTTGCAAAAACAAAACTGGTAATTATACCAAGAAAAAAACCCCCAAAAAACTAAGACTTTACTTTTTTTTTTAGAGTACATCTTTATTAATCTTTGTGTGGTACAGAATTCAAAACTTAAAGTATAACTAAAGGCAAAACTTTTTTTTTATTAGTTTTGGATAGAGTGGAGAGGGATTAGAACGCTTGTCAGGTTTTTATTGCTGTCTGTGCCCCTGTTAGGGAGACTCACACTCTCTATATGCCTTGTTTACCATTATCACTGAAAGTCAAAGTAAGAGAAAATCTAAAATTTTTGTAAAAGTAATAAAAGGGGAAATCTTCCAATGGTATCACTAGTTATGGGGGGGCATGCAATATCCTTAATTTGTAGGGATTTCATCTCACTTCCTGTTTGCCTATGGGACAAGAAGTGAAGGGAAATCTCCACAATGGGACACAAAAAAAAATCAGACAGAGGTTATAACCCTCCCTTACTCTATCCAAAATGAAAAAAAAAAAATTGCCTATAGTTCTACTATTCTACTACTAGCTACTAGTGTACAAGGGCACATGAAGAGCAGCCTCATTCACTTGAATGGGTCGGGTTTGGAAGATGACAAGCAGTATATTTCCGACAATGGCCGCACAGCAAACCATTGTGGCCATAGCATGTGCATACCCCAGGCTATTGCTTCCGGAGCGGGAAGTTGGGTGGTAAAAGTGCAGCTTAACTGTGGGGAGTGAAAAAATCCAAAAAGATTTAACAAAAAATTTAAAAATTGTGTTTAGATATATTTTAATTTGAGGGTAATCTGGCCCTCACAGGTTTTGTTTTGTACACCCAACATGTACGTGTTAATTATACCATATTTCACAATATTGTCGTAGCTGTACGATACGGAGCCAGCTGATCCTTACATAACTAAGAATAATGAGATGAAAGTTGAAATTTATGAAAAGAAGCTATAAATTCTATGAAAGTTCACCTTTTAGAACATGTTACAGGTTATACCCATATTTAGGGTGTAACATGTTCCAGCATTTCCCTACACAATACCCCCCCCCCAACCTCGACAGCAGGCAGGGGGGTCATCTCCTTGCACCAGTCACTTTTCAAAAAGCAGCACGACTGTGTAGGGTTCCTCCCACTAAACCATGTCATTTATTCACAGCGATCTGTGAATGTGAGAACCAGTACCATCTGCTACCGCAGCAGGCAGCTTGTAGTTCTCAATGAACTGTGAGGGCGCTGATGAGCATGCTTGTAGTTCATTCACAAGCCCCGAAGCTTTAGAAATGACAGCCTGTACAGAGGTATGGGCTGAAAGCTGTAGGGCTTGTCTGCAGAAGCTGGACATTGCACCCATGATCCACTGATCACGGATGCAATGCTCTGCAGGACCGAGGGAAAAATAAAAATGCACATTTTTTTTCCTGCAAAAATATGTGCATTTATTATTTGTTTCCTAAAGAGTTGAACTTATTCTTTAACTTTTCTCTGACTTGGTATATCAGGATTATCTGCTATGCTCATCTGTACACCAGAAGACACTGACTGCAGTAAGACACTCTCAAAACACTCTGGTTCACACTATAGAAACGCAGTCCAGATGTGTTTCTACATGCGCATTCTGATGCGTTTTTGGCATCTTCTGGTGCATTTTTTTATATGTTTTTGACGTGTTCCGCTATGTTTTTGATGCTTTCCTGTTAATTTTTTCTCCTCTTTTTTTCTTAAATTGAAATAAGGACATGTGTGTAACAGTGCATTTTGATGCATTCCAAAACATTTTCGATGCGTTCCAGTACAATTCTGTGCAGGAAAAATGCAGCCTGTTCTACTTTTATTTTCTGCAACTGGAACAGCAAGCACTGATGTGAACTACAACATTGATAACCATATTACCTACTTTCTGTGCACTTTGGATGCAAAAAAAAGGCAACTGAAACGCATGTAGTGTGAACTGCCCTTAGAACTGAAATAATCAAACATTTTACAATAATGCATGGGTATCCTATTGGTTATGCTATGGTGTGATTTATCAAAAACTTTTAAAGGATTCCAAAGCATTAAATGTTTTTCCCAGTATCATAACTCTGCCAAAGTGGTAATTACAGGAAAAAAAAAAAAATCATGGGAAGGCCGTGATAAAATAGAGCCTTTCAGATCAAAGTTGATTGCGGCGTCATAGACGAACACCTTACACTATCATTCTCCAGCATTCCCTTCTTAATGAGGACAAATCCTTTTTTTTCTGTTAAAGCTTGAAAAAAGGCAAAGCCGTAGCCTCTGCAAAAGGAGCTCATTAAAAATGTGGAATGCTGCAACAGGGCTCTCTCCACATGCAGAGCCTTTCTGGTTGAGTAAGGATCACAGGCCTACGGGATAAATGTTCCCCTCTTCTCAAGTACTTGTTTTGCACCCAATGCCTCCGAGAAAAAGAGACACAACTTGTTAGTCAACAGTAATTTTGAAGGATGGAAAAGGATTTGGAAAGGAGGGGTTGGAACTAGCATCTCATCTTCCCTGGTGAGAATTCTTTGAAGCAATGCACAAGTAACCGTCCTGAACACTTGGCATAATAAGGTTGGGTAAACAGTCAGACTCTCAACCCTTTAAGGGCATAAAAAAAAAAAAAATCAATATTATTTCTGCTTGGGATCAACATCAGTCTGTTGGCACTTTCAAGTGCCCACTCCAGCCTCTTCAACTGATTAAAATGCAAAGAGTATCAATGACCTTAAACTGAAATCCTGTGTAAGTGGCAAACTTAATTTATTGGCTGAGAGCTTTTCAGTTCTCCGAAGGTACACTCAACTTGCAAATATCAATTGGCTCCCAGTAAACACAAAGGGGGTATTCCCCTACCTAAGTGTTCATGTTTTCCATCCATTTGAGTGCTGTGTAAAGCGATTTTATTGCTAAATGTGGCTAATGTGCTGCCATTGGAAAAACACCTTTCTACGATCTGAAAGTGCAGAATTGATATTTTTTTTTTTGTATTTTTTTTTGTATTATTTATTAGTTATATACTATATGAGAAAACACTCAATTCATCAAGCTAAAACACCAGGAAAAGTATCCTTATTTTAAAAAAAAGTGACAGTTGTGTCCAGCCAATGAGATTGAAAAGTTAAAGTCACATGGCTAAAATAAAGAAAAATGCATTCAATAAATAATGAATATACAGTGGTTAACACAGCTGCCGAATCAGGTTATTTTTGCCTAATTTTTCAATTTCCTAATATCTGCCTCATCTGTGGTGAGAAAAAGTCTCCCCTGCCCAGGCATAATTTCCCTTGGTAAAATTGTTAATGCCTATGTTTAGTGAAAAAAAAAGTGACATTACTTACTATTAGGCCTCATGCACACTGGGCATTTGCCTAGCTCTTCTCAATGGCTTTTTCCTGGCAGGAGAAAAGCAGCGTTAAAAATGCACCTAAAGCCATTCATTAACCTCCCTGGCGGTATTCCCGAGTGTAGCTCGGGGTAAGGTTTCAGTACCACAAGCGGTAACCCCGAGCTACACTTAGGCTTACCATGCGGCGCTGCTCCGGGATCTCTCGATCTCCTACCTTGTCCTGCGCTCCCGCAATGTCCCTCCTGCAGTGTCCCCGACAATGTAATCCGGTGGATGCTGGCATCTGGGTTCCATCCCCTGCGAGCATCGGGACGTACAGGGGGACGGAACGGCGGGAAATTTAAAATGACAAAAAGTAACATTCACTAAAATCACTAAAATCTCATAGTAAAACATTACTGTATCAAACCATTTCACATACATTTTGTCCCGAGTGCTTTGTCCTGTGCCCAGCCTGCATTTTGTCTGTTCTTTCTGCCTGGAAACTGAGAAACGTCCATGGCGTCCAAAAAGCGTCCCTTTAGGTCAAAAGCGGTTTTAGATCAGCTAGAGAACAGCGATAGTAAATTAGAACCACTTGCAGAATTGAGTGATAATGATTCGTGGGGAAATTCGTCATCAGACACTGAAAGCGATTTTGCGACTTTGCTCAGTGATGTGTGAACTTGGCGCTATATTTCACATTTCAGTGTTTTTGGTTTGATTATATTATTGAATTAAAATTATTATTAGATTTTTTATGATTATTTTTTAAATTATAATTTATGATTTCGCGTTTCAAATTTTAACATACCCGGGATGTTTACTAGACTCTTGTTCGGACAGATTTCAGAGAGTTATTCCTAAAAATTACAGGCCTACAATATAAAATGCCAAATT